CGGGCACCGTGAACTTGGGTCTGGATGGGAACGGCCGGGAGGTGTTCGTGCCTTTCAGCGCGCTGCTACCCATGGTGTCCCCCAACGACCTGGTGTTTGACGGTGGGCTGAGCCTCGGGGCGGGATGCGGGTATGTGTGGGAAGGCCCAGGGTCCAGGATGGGTTCAGTGTGAGGGTCCCCACAACCTAGGCTGGGATATCTCGTCACTGAATCTGGCCGAGGCGATGAGGCGCGCACAGGTCCTGGACTGTGGCTTGCAAGAGCAGCTGTGGCCCCACATGGAGAGCCTGCGCCCGCGGCCCTCGGTCTACATTCCCGAGTTCATCGCTGCCAACCAAACAGCACGAGCAGACAACCTCATCCCTGGCACACGCGCGCAACAGGTGGGGGCCTCGACTGGCTTCCCCAGCTCACTGCCACCTGCTAACTGGCCACGTGGTCCTTCCCTTTGGCTACATACCCAATTACCCCCCCACCCCACCCCCGCCCCTAGGTAATGAGTGGCCCAAACCCCTGGAGGGCTTGGACAACTTCCATCTACTCTGTATCTTTTCCCAGTTGGAGCAGATCCGAAAGGACATTCGAGACTTTCGATCCAGCGCAGGATTGGACAAGGTCATTGTGCTGTGGACCGCCAACACAGAGCGCTTCTGCGATGTGGTCCCAGGTCGAAATGACACAGCCGAAAACTTGCTTCGTACTATCCAGGTGGGCACACGCCCAAGATTCCTTGGGGACAAGGCTGGTACAGAGGAAGCCTTGTCTCACTGCCTCTCTGCCCTCAGCTTGGCCAAGAGGTGTCACCATCCACGCTTTTTGCTGTGGCCAGCATCCTGGAGGGCTGCGCCTTCCTCAATGGATCCCCACAGAACACACTGGTGCCGGGTGCCCTGGAGCTGGCTTCCCAGCGCCATGTGTTCGTGGGCGGGGACGATTTCAAGTCCGGTCAGACGAAGGTCAAGTCTGTTCTGGTGGACTTCCTCATCAGCTCTGGCCTCAAGGTACCTGGGGCTTCATGAGGTGCCAAAGGAAGGCAGCCAGGACCGTGGGTTGGTGATGGTACTGCGGAGCTGGTCACACCTGAGTTCACCTGTCTCTGACCACACAGACCATGTCCATCGTGAGCTATAACCACTTGGGCAACAACGATGGGCAGAACCTGTCTGCACCACTGCAGTTCCGCTCCAAGGAGGTGACGAAGAGCAGCGTAGTGGATGACATGGTGCAGAGCAACCATATACTCTACGCACCCGGAGAGGCGCCAGATCACTGTGTGCGTGGGGCTGTGGGCTGGCAGGCGGGCAGGGGCCTTGGCGCCCTATGGTGGGGCCGTGTGACCTGATGCATCTCCACAGGTGGTGATCAAATACGTGCCCTACGTGGGCGACAGCAAACGTGCCCTGGATGAGTATACCTCAGAGCTGATGCTGGGTGGGACCAACACCCTGGTGCTCCATAACACCTGTGAGGTACAGAGGGCTGGCGGGGCCAGGTGTGGTGGGCAGGGTAGGTGTTGATTCACCAGGCCTTTGTCACTACTCCCACCAACCCCCACCCAGGACTCGCTCCTGGCAGCACCCATTATGCTGGACCTAGTACTGCTCACTGAGCTCTGTCAGCGTGTGAACTTCTGCACCGACTCGGACCCTGAGCCTCAGGGCTTCCACCCAGTGCTGTCGCTGCTCAGCTTCCTCTTTAAGGCACCGCTGGTGCCCCCTGGGAGCCCAGTGGTGAATGCACTCTTCCGCCAGCGCAGCTGTATCGAGAACATTCTCAGGTACGCACGGTGGAGGGTGGGACACAGGGCTGGCAGGACAGTCCTGGGGTGACCTGCTGAGCTCACACTGTCTCCACAGGGCCTGTGTGGGGCTCCCGCCACAGAACCACATGCTCTTAGAACACAAGATGGAGCGCCCAGGCCTGGGCATCAAGCAAGGAGAAATGGCAACCATCAGCCCACTGCAGCATAAGAGAGAGTCCACACCTGCTGCCACCAATGGCTGTACCGGCGATGCCAACGGTCACACACAGGCACCGACACCAGAGGTGTCCACTGCTTAAATCAAATGACCCTTTTACCCCCAGCCCTTCTCTTTTCTTATCATTGTCCCCAAGACCTTGCCAACGAATTAAAGAGTTCCCACCAGGCAAGCCTTCTTGTGACTTTACAAGGTCTCCGGTGTGTAGCACTGGCTAGCCAGGAATTTGGTATGTAGACCAAACTCTGTCCAAGTGCTGGGGTTTAAAGGCCTCTACCACCAGCCTGGTCCTTCACCTGCTCACCTCATCCCGGCAGAGATGGAGGCCGCAGCTGCTAGTCAAATGAGGGACATCAGCGGTACCAAAAAGACAAAACCGAATGGTGTTTATTGGCAGTACCCTCCCCCAAGCCCACACTTCTCTGAGGTGTGTGTGTGTTGTGTGTTGTGTTGTGTGGTGTGTGTAGAAAAAAGAAGTCCTTCGTGGGGTCCCTGCCAGCCATCTAGGCCGGGCTGGCCAGGAGTCCGGGTGGCAGGGGCGCGACCCGAGACCTTGCCAGCAGGACACTGGGTGCAGGCCAGGGCTATCACACGCTCATGGTCATGCCAGGGGAGTACTGCGGAGACAGGGCAGCGCGCGGGGCGCGGCTCAGCTCC